CCCCCCCGCCCCCCCCACCAGACAGGGGCTGCTGCCTCTGTGTCAGAGGCAGCAGCGCAGAGCAGCAGGGTGCTCCCTGGGAGTGGGGCTGGATTGCACTGGCTGCCAGCCCTGCCCCTGGGGACTATAAAATAGTTGACTAATGCCTAAGAATTCATGCATTTAATCAACTATTCTATTACCTGCTATCTAACATCCTAGTGTGGACTAGGCCTAAGTCTGTCATTGTAAAGCATTTTCTCCAGTCCTTGCTCAAATACTTTCGGGGCTTTAACATTTGTTTTTTAGTATAGATTTTATTTTGGCATCTGTTGTTATAAAGAGATTAGATTGAAACATATGCCTGCTCCCCAGAATGCATTAGTGAAGGGCGAGGCAATTTTCTGAGCCACACTATGAAGCTGTCGCTAGACAGCATAAGAAAGCAGTCACCATCCTGCTTGCTTCAAGGTATAAGACGACCCTCTCTTCTTGGGAAGAGGAAGGAATCCCTCCCATCTTATGGGAAGAACAATTAGCCCGGTGCATTACAGTACAGAGGAACTGCCTTCTTCTGAAACACGAGAGCTACGTCTACGCTGGCAGCTTCTTACGCAAGAACTGTTTTGCGGAAGAGTTCTTGCGCAAAACGTCTTCCACAAGAGCGCGTCCACACTGGCATGTGCTTTAGCACAAGAGATGTGCTTTTGTACAAGAGTGTCTATGGCAGTGTGGATGCTCTCTTGTGCAAGAAAGCTCTGATGGCCATTTTAGTCATAGGGGTTTCTTGCGCAAGAAATTCATGTAGCCTGTCTACACTGCCCTGTTGCACAAGAGCTCTTGCGCAAGAAGACTTATTCCTCGTGGGGAGAGGAATAACTCTTCCAGAAGAAGTGCTGTTTTCCAACACTTGTAAATTTACTTGCGCAAGAACACGCGTGCCGTGTAGACACCTGGCAAGCTTTTGCGCAAGAACAGCTGTTCTTGAGCAAGAAGCCACCAGTGTACATGTAGCCCAAGTGCTGTTCTTGCAGCAGGACCAAATGCTTTAACTCAGCTGGAAGTTGAGGACTTGAGATGCTGGGATCACGTACTGCCTGGCTCTACCATCACTTAGCTCTTCGCATATGAAAATCTCACTACGGTCTTATCGAAAATCTTTATTTAAACTAGGAGAGGTTTATTACAGGGGCTTTGTACATGGGGAAAATACAGGAGCGTGGCTGCAGATGACGCTGGAGAGCCTCGCTTGCAGGCGCCTGGGCCTTGACGGCCGGGAGGACACGATGCTGCCGCTGAGGATTCTGGGCCAAGCCTCCTCTCCTCTCTATGCTGCCTTTTCTTTGTCGCTTTTCTCCTCTTCTACCGCCAGGAGGCGCTCCCTCTCCTTGATGAGCTGCACCCCGCAATAGGTGATGAACCAGATGGACAAGGTGCTGAGTGGGAAACCTGCAAGCCGGAGGGACAGACGGTTTGACGTGGGCGTTAATGAAAAGGGTGAGGTGCTTCTCCAAATGCAACTCAGCATCCTTGCTTGGTAGGTCCTGAGACGGGATGAGCCTGTACACAGGGCCATCCTTCCACTTTAGGGGGCCCTATGCAAATGAGGCCTCCCTGCATGCCTTCTGCTGGGGCTCAGGCTTCCCTTCCTCTCCACCCCCTCTTTGCTGCTTGTGCTGGGGGCCTGGACCTTCCCCCCGCCTCCTCCACACGGCTTCTGCTGGAGGCCTGGGGCTCAGGACTGCCCTCCCTCCCTTTCTCCCTCCTCCCCTACGCAGCTTCTCTTGGGGCTTGGGGATTCTCTCCCTCCTCTCTGCAGCTTCTGCTGGAGGCCTGGGATTTGGGGCTTCCTCGTCTCTGCCCCAAACCTGGCAGAAGAGAGCCCTCACTAGTATCTGACTGTTGGCTAAGAGGAGCACACGGGATAGGGAGCAGGAAGAAGGCAGCCTGTAATGCAGCTGCATAGGGCACCTGGAAAATTGGTGCCCCAAATTTTCAGGTGCTCTATTCAGCAGAGTATTTCACAGCTGCCTAGGGATGGTTCTGTCTGTACATGATCCACAGCCCACAGCGATCCATGGCAGTCTTTTCATCAACCTCCATGGGGTTTAGATCTGACCCTGTGAGCTCTCCCCTCCTCCACTGGGGTGCAGGGGTGGGCCCAGATCTGCTAACATAGTATGGTCTTCTATACATCGTGAGGCCCTCCTGGCTTTGAGTCACGTGGAAAGACATTCTCAGCTCCCCGAGCTCAGACAGATGCCTAAGGGTCACTTAGCCAGCCCCATGCTGTCCTTCTTCACCACCTGCCCCTCTATACGCTCTGAGCCTGCAATCCCCAAGGCCTGGCGTTAACCTGCCCCTGGAGATCCCACGCGCACCATCCACCTCTCTCTCCTAGATAACGGGGGAGTTCGTTCACACGCCCTCGTTTACAATACAAATAACCGACAGGAGAAGTAGCCTCCGGCACAGGGCTGTAATCAGGCCCGACGACGGGGGAGGGGAGACAAAGGGGATAATTGTTTTGGGGCCTGGCATTTTTAAAAGGCCCAGGACTGCCAGCCATTGCCTTACGCCTTTAGGGGCAGTGAGCCATCCAGGTGATACTGAGGGCTGGCAGCCCCAGTCCTGCCCCCTCCACTGAGGTCCCACCCCTTCCGGGAGCACAGAGATGGGGCCCCCTACATTGCCCAGTGATCCTATCAGCCCCCCTGGCTGTAATTCCATGGGGCGGGGCAGGGAGCCTGGCAGCATTATGGACGGTTTCCACAGCAGAGCTCCAGGCTTTGTGTGGGCTAAAACTGGTCCTCTCAATGAGTAACATGACCAGCAACCACAATGAGCTCAGCCATCAGGCACTTCTGACATGCTGAACCCTCCGGGTCACGTTACCCCCCTCCTGAGCCAGCCAGTCCCCTGTGTGTGCACCACTCAGTCAGCTACGCACAGCCCAGGCCGTTTGAACACACTCGGGAGGAACGCACAGCCGGGGGGCGCTCACTGGAGAACATCCAACAAAGAGGCCTGAGACACTATTAGAGATACAAGGCTGGCAAAGAGCGTATGGGTCTACCCATTTCAGCTCCAGACAGGAGTCGAGGCCGTAGGGGATGAAGGCGGCAGCGAGGAAATAAATCCCCATTGTTATTATGAGATAGGTTGCAATAGCACTGACCGATCTAAGCTGTGGTCAGCCCCCCGGGCTAGGTGCTGAACAAACGCGGCATGAAATGATGGTCTCTGCCCCCCAAGTAGCTTATAAGCTCACGACAAACTCTCTTCCCATTGGAAAGGGGTGCCAGGCTGGGGGGCTTTGGTTTGAGTTCGGTGTCGTGGCCCCTGTACACCAAGAAAAGGGCTTGTCCAGCCTGAGGGAACCAGAAGGAATTTACCTGTCAGGAGGAGTCTCTTGGTAACCAGCAGCATGAAGTCCAGACTGTTGAGAGCAAGGATGTTGTAGAGGACGATGGCCCAGAAGTTTGCAGCCCCGAAGATTCCTCTAATCCGCCGAGACATCGGCTCTGACATGTTGGCCTGCCCGGAGAAACAGTGGCGTGAGGGTTTGTGTTAGTTGTGCCCATCTCAGGGCACGTCTAGACTTGCTTTCACTTTTGAAAGATGATATGCAAATTCGACTCAAATGTGCATATGATGATAT